AGCTCAGGCGGCCATGCTCGCTCCTGTTTGCTTGCCACTCACCTCCTGCTGTGCTGCCCTGTTCCTAACAGGCTGTGGACTGGTCCATGCCTAGAGGTTGAGAACACCTGATTTTTTTTTTTTTTTTTTGAGACAAAGTCATACTCTGTTGCCCAGGCTGGAGTGCAATCTGGGCTCTTGCAAGTCTGCCTCCCAGGTTCAAGCAATTCTCCTGTCTCAGCCTCCTGAGTAGCCGGGATTATAGGCATGCACCACCATACCCAGCTAATTTTGTATTTTGAGTAGAAACGGGGTTTCTCCATGTTGTTCAGGCTGGCCTCAAATTCCTGACCTCAGATGATCCGCCCACCTTGGCCTCCCACAGTGCTGGGATTACAGGCGTGAGCCACCACACCCGGCCAAGGACACCTGATTTAAAGGAAGAAAAAGGAATTTATTGGCTTGTGGAACTATCAAAGAACAAAATTTCAACAAATCAAGTTTAAAGACCCTTTTGTTGGTAATTCATGAATTGGGCAGCATTTCTTCTATAAAATACAAAGGCACCCTGAGGAGCTGAGCAGAGGAGCTGGGCTTTACAGGCAGAAGAGGCAGCAGAAAGCAGAAACAAGGAATAAAAAGCAGTTTGGTTGTTTCAAAGTCACTTTTCTTATAGGATTAAAGCAGAAGGGACTTCCTTATCCTGCTGGCCCAGGTTGATGGGGCCTCTTTGGATTGGTTGCTGTGAATCTTCCTTTTCTTTGGAAAACTGATCCACTTCTAAGTTCAGTTTGACTACGTAACAGCTAGCATGAGTGACTCCATTCTGGTTTGGTCTGATATGTTGGGGCCCAGTGCAGGAGCTCAGTCCAAACCAATGGCCTCACTGTAAGTTTTACTTAACAGAACTAAAAAGCCAAGGAATATACAGGCTTCAGGTATACCTGGAGTCGGGGCTCAAATGATGTTACCAGGACCACTGCTCTCCTGATGTCTCTGTTTTTCCTGCCTCTATTCTGGCTTTATTCTGAGGCATACTTTCATTTTATGGGAGGCAGATTGTAACCAGTAGTGGCAGGTGGTTTATGACCTTATAGAGCTACAGGCAGAAAAAGAGAAAGCTTTTCATTGCCATCAATATAAAGTTAAGTCCAAGCTGGGCTTGGTGGCTCACACCTGTAATCCCAACACTTTGGGAGACCAGGGCAGGTGGATCACTTGAGCCCAGGAGTTTGAGACCAGCCTGGGCAACATGGTGAAACTCTGTCTCTACAAAAATTAGCTGGGTAGGGGGGCGTGCACCTGTAGTCCCAGCTACTCAGGAGGCTGAGGCAGGAGGATCAATTGAGCCTGAAAGCTCCAGGCTGCAGTGAGCCATAATCACACCACTGTACTCCAGCCTGGGTGACAGAGCCAAGACCTTGTCTCAAAAATAAAATAAAATAAAACAATATAGCCGGGCGCGGTGGCTCAAGCCTGTAATCCCAGCACTTTGGGAGGCCGAGGTGGGCGGATCACGAGGTCAGGAGATCGAGACCATCCTGGCTAACCTGGTGAAACCCCGTCTCTACTAAAAAATACAAAAAACTAGCCGGGCGAGGTGGTGGGCGCCTGTAGTCCCAGCTACTCGGGAGGCTGAGGCAGGAGAATGGCGTAAACCCGGGAGGCGGAGCTTGCAGTGAGCTGAGATCCGGCCACTGCACTCCAGCCTGGGCGGCAGAGCGAGACTCCGTATCAAAAAAAAAAAAAAAAAAAAAATATAAGTTAAGTCCTGGGCCCGACATGAATTGGCCTGAATTGTAACATGTCTCCTCTCCCCAAAACCCATCACTGTGGCTGGGAATGCCATGATCTGATTATCCAGGTGCCATGCACATGCCCCCTCCCAGAGCTGAGGGTGGAACCAACATGGCAGAATTCCATGGATGAAAACCATGATGCTGCCAGTTGACTAAAGTTTGATAGATGCTGAGTCAACAAATAATGAGTGTCCGTTAGATCACCTATTGCTCACATTAGGCAGTCTCTAGTCTCTAAAGTAGCCACACAGCAGAATCACAGTGGTACCAAAACCAAAGGAGAGCCCAGCCTAGCTGCTGGAATGGGAATCCACAGGAAAACTGCAGCCTGGCTTTGCTGAAACGGGTCAGCCACAGTGCATTTTCAGTGTTGGCAGTACAGCCTAAGGATGTGACAAGATCCTTACAAGGTGACTCACAGCCACATGACATTTCTAAATGTGAGGAGAAAAGCTGAATGTCCCGATTGTGGCCATCAACTTATTGCCTCTTTGAGGATAAAATAATTCCCAGCTTTGGTTTCCTCCTCAGGAAACTCCAACTGGTAATACCTACCTGGTGAGTTATTGCAAAGATTAAAGAGGGGATCATGAGAAAATAGTGCTATCGCGCCTGGAAGAGAACAGTCATCTAATAAAAGTTAGTTTCCTTTCCCCAGACTTAACTACTCTGCTCTATTTTAATATAATGTATGCGAGTCACGTGTTTATGACATGCTAAACAGGCAACGGTTATAGGGCACTGACGAAGGGTTGGCCAATGGTCTAAGGACTTTATATTCAATAATCCATTTAATTTTTGGTTCCTCCCCACAAGTCTTTGGGGAAGAAAACATTATCCCCATTTTAGGAGATGTCCTGAAAGGTTGAATAACTCACCCACGGTCTCACAGCTAGTTCGTGGCAGAAATTATTTCAAACGCAGGCATTCTGACTGTAGGGCAGATGCTCTAAACCAGGACACCATACAGCCTCGTCCTGAGAACATCTATTTCTTCCACTCTGAGCTGTTTGTCTTATTTCTCCTGTCAAAGGACGCCACACAAACCAGCACTTAATAAATGTGTGAATTTTGCCCTGGCAGATGGTAGAGGAAGGAATAAAGATGCAGAGGGAAGTGGACATGTTGGAATAGATATTTTCTGTGAGGCCAGAAGACCTCCAGAGGATTATGCTACACACATAGGCCCAGAGCTTATGCTTCACTTGCCAAGGCCATCAGGAATACTCCAGGGAGAAGGTGCCAGCATCAGTGAGAAGTTCAGTGCTAGCAAGGGCTGTGGGTAGGAGATGCTGTCACAGAGCTTGGTTCATGGATAGCAATGAGCATGGTGGGCTCCTGAAGCAAGAGGCCAGGGGGCAGCACTTAACCTCTAGAAGCCAGAGGGTTGTAATTATAGTAATGAACAGCAAAGCAGAATGGCAGCCAAGGGAGCTTGATCCAAAGAGAGTTGTGGAGATAGTTCACAGAGTATGGTGTCCCAAAGGACAAAGTCAATGACCAGTCAATGGGGATGCTGCTTAATATGCACCATCAAAAGAAAGCAAGAATGAGGCTGGGTGCGGTGGCTCACGCCTATAATCCCAGCACTTTGGGAGGCCAAGGCAGGCGGATTGCCTGAGGTCAGGAGTTTGAGACCAGCTTGGCTAACATGGTGAAACCCTGTCTCTACTAAAAATACAAAAATTAGCCAGGCATGGTGGCAGGCACCTGTAATCCCAGCTACTCGGAAGGCTGAGTCAGGAGAATTGCTTGAGTCCGGGAGGAGGAGGTTGCAGTGAGCCAAGATAGCACCACTGCACTCCAGCCTGGGCAACAGAGTGAGACTCCATCTTAAAAAATAATAATAATAATAATTAATAAATAAATAAAAGCAAGAATGGAGGAGCAGGAGACTGCAAGAGGTTGCCCTAATGAAACGTCATGGTTGGGAAAACAGCAAGAGTTCCATTTGAACTATAAAATATGGCTCCTGCCCTGGCATTTTGAATTCTTCGTGACCATGAATCAGCAGGTAAGAAGAGTTGCCATCTTGGCAAGGGTAATTGCTCCTGATTAGCAGGAGGAGTTTGTGTTGCTATTACAAGTGGGGGCAATGAAGAATACGTAGAGAACTCATGCAGTCCACTTGGGTGCTTTATGATACTCCCTGGCCCAACTGAGAACATACATGGATGAGTACAGCAACCTCAGCTTGAGATAAGTATGGTTACCAGTGGTTTCATTCAAAAATGAAAGTTTTGTCACACCACCAGCAAGTCACTGAGACCACTAGAGATGGTAACTGAGGGAGAGTAAATTTGGAATGGATAGTGGAGAAGGGAGAGGATAAGTATCAGTTGCGATCCCAAGATCAACTGCTGTGACAAGGGGTATAGTTCATCCCACTGATCTGCCTCTTTTAAGTTTATCTGCAAGAAGAGAGGCACACTGGAACCCTGGAGGAGCTGTTCCCTAAATGGGATGGGAGTTGCATGGTGCACGGGGTGGACCGTGGTAGTTGTGAAGACACACCACTTGGCTCTCCGTTCAAGAAATAACTTCCATTCAGCTGCAAGGAGAGTGGTTAGTTGACAGCCTCCAACTGCAGCAGCTTCAGACCACCTCAGTTTTCAAGCTAAGGCCACACTCTTCCTGAACCGTCTCCAGATAATAACCAAACATAGTGGAAGTACTAGGGGCTGGCTATTTCTGGCCAAAGCGGATATCTTCTAATCGGCAGTCTTTGCTCTGGTGTTTCCCATTGAGTTGGCCAAAACTGTCAGGTGTGCATTGTACTCTGAGGTGCTCCTGTTCAATCCTGTTTCTTCCCCACTTTTTTTTTTTTTTTAATGAGACAGAGTTTCGCTTTTGTCGCCCAGGCTGGAGTGCAATGGCGCGATCTCAGCTCATTGCAACCTCTGCCTCCGAGGTTCAAGTGATTCTCCTGCCTCAGCCTTCTGAGTAGCTGGGATTACAGGCATGTGCCACCATACCTGGCTAATTTTGTATTTTTAGTAGAGATGGGCTTTCACTGTATTGGTCAGCCTGGTCTCGAACTCCCAACCTCAGGTGATTTGCCCACCTCGGCCTCCCAAAGTGCTGGGATTACAGAGTGAGCTACCGCGCCCAGACTCTTCCCCACCTTTTTTGTTTGTTTGTTTTTCACAAGTATCAGATTAATATCATGGCCCAAAGGCTTTATCTGTCCAAGCTGCTGATTCTCCCTTTTTTCTTTAACAGGCATTTCACCTGAATCAACTGTTTGTGTTCTTCACTCGGTCTCCTCACCTGCTTCCTGGAAGACCCAGCTGACACAGATGGTTACAAGAAATGATTTCCTCCCTATAAAACTTTAGGTAAATAAACTCTTTGAGCTTCACTTTTCTCCCTGTGGAAGGAGCATATTATTAACTCTCTCGCTGGGTAGTTGGGAGGCTTAAATATATAAATTTTAGATTTTTATGAGAATTAAGGGAATGTGTGTGAGATGTTTTGCAAACAACCTAGCACATAGTAAATTCAATAACTTATTCAAATGGAAGAGATAAAGGCAGCCATGTGTGGGAACTTATTCGTTTTCTTTACTCCTGATGGATATGGCCGTTTGCCTAGCACTGGAGAAGCGTTATTTTTTTCCCCATTGCTATTAACATCTTTGCCTGCAGTAAGAAAAGAAGTAATGGTTATGCCAAACCAAGAAGATGAGAATAGACTTTAAGTACAAGCGATTGTAGTGGTTTTTTAAAATATATATATAGTATATAATATTTAAAATATATATATACATTTATATTTGCTGATAATATTTAAAAATATATATACATATATATATACATTTTGAGATAGGGTCTTGCTCTGTCTCCCAGGCTGGATGGAGTGCAGTGTCATGACCACAGCTCACTGCAGCCTCAAGCTTCCGGGCTCAAGTGCTCCTCCGAGGTTAGCCTCCCAAGTAGCTGGGACTACAAGTGCACGCTACCATGCCCAACTAGTTTTTAAATTTTTTTGCAAAGACGGGGCCTTGCTATGTTCCCAGGGCTGGTCTTGAACTCCTGGGCTCAAGTGATCCTCCTACTATGGCCTCCCAAAGTGCTGGGATTACAGGCATGAGCCACTGTGCTCAGTTATATATTTTTAAATGATATAATAATGACAATGAAAATTTCAGTTGGAGATTGAATTGTGGTTATGTAACCAAATGATTTAAATCCGCAATGTTAAAACAGGAAGAACACTACATATTTTCCATATCTGAAGACTCTATTACAAGATTGGGTAATTTATTCTTCTGCAATGAATTTTGATGTAGTATTCACAAGTCCATAACCAAGATATATTTTAGTTTTCAATAATATGTGGTTTCCTTTTTAAATCACAACGTTTCATTTGATTTCATTCTCATGTATAAAAATGTACACATCACTTTGGGCTAAGTTTTCGGCAAAGGTAGAAAGTGGAATACCATTAGGAACTTTATCCAAATGCTTCGAAGAGCATAGCTCAGCAAAAAAAAAAATTTCCCCATCTAGGGGCTACAAACTGCCTATGATAAGGTTTGTACTGAGTTTAAGTCACATCCGAAGTACATTTATGGTACAGGCATTTATTAAAGTATTTATTACTTCCTCTAGCAAGCCCTTTAGCTAGTGGAATTTTAAGACATGTAACCTGGAGGATTGACTTAACTATATTCTGTATTTGATTTTAATGGAGAAACTAATCATTACAGTGCGTGAAACTACGAGACAGAAATAACCATCCTTTAGGAGAGAGGCTAAGCTTTTTATGTTTAATTTGGTAATTTTCTGACAGCCACACCATTTTCTGCACCTGTTGTTTAAAAAATTAATTTGGAAGAAATTTCCTTACTGTAGGTGGACAATTTGAAAATGAAAAATTCTTACCCTGTGAATTTCTCACCCGGAGCACTTTAACTTTTCCACCAAGCATGTCCCCCTCCCTTCAACTCAAATCAATGAATTAACAAGTTTGAATGCACATGCTCTTCCTGAAAAAAAAAAAAAAGATTTTTTTTTTTGTTATCTCTGTTGGTCTTGCCAATTAGAATAAGAAGACTGCTCTTTCTGTTTCTTAGAATATCATCCTAAATTTCTGTTTCAACCACTGTCCTAATAACTTCCCTGAATGATCAGTTGGATATAAAATCATAAAGACATACCTGGTTTGGAATAATAACCACATTTCCCCCACTCTTCTACTTTAAAAAGACGTTAGACCTTAACATCATATAATCCACATATTCCATACCTAGTCATTAGTTGCTATTCACAAAAGTAAAGTCATGTCACTCATGTAATATTTCTTTCTGTTCCACTGCTCCTGCCTGCAAGTGTTTAGAAGCTCTTCCTATCCCTGTCCTTGCTTCCAACATTGCACACATTTTCTTCTCGTGCTTAAAAATAAATGTCAAGTTCTTGATCTTTTGTTAAAGATTCATTGCCAAAGATGGTTTCACAGCAGGAGCCTTCCTAGGGAGAGAGTTGGCTCACATTCCTGCTAAGAATGTAACCTGGGAATGATGGAAAAATAATTATAATCAATGTCAGAGAGCATATGGTTTTCTACCGAGAAGCCTGCCAAGTAGGACCTGCACTAATCCTTTCCATCCATTATCAGCCAGTTGACTCTAACAGACAAATTCCTCATATTTGGATAAATGAAAGTCCAAATCTCACACATATTTCTCCCACATCTGAGAGGTTTCTGAGTGAAACCAGTGAATGCCTTGCATTTCTGAAGGTTAGTTTCCATAAAACTACATTATTGTGTTTTCTTGTCTGTAAATGTGGGATTGCCTTATTTCTACTGCATCCTTTAATGTGGGTGACCCTCTAAGGTCAGTACACACATAGTGAAAGACATGAGGCCATTCTAATATGTACATTGAAAAGAACCACATTTTAAAAGCTTTGTGGTGATGTGTGTTTCGGCTGGATACACCCCAACAGTATGTGTCGTGTTTTTAAAAGAGGAATTATGCTGAGTTAATTAAGTGGAAGCAGAAACACCTGGTGCATATCATTATGGAATAAGGCTCTGGGTGATTTAATTAAGATCTTTATGGTTACCAAGTGGCTTTCCAAGTATTTTTCCACTGAACTTATATTTTACTTTACCTTCCACCCTGCTTCTCTTCAGATATATGCCAAGTGGTATATAGTTCTTTTTTTTTTTTTTTTTTTTTTGGTGAGACAGTCTAGCTCTGTTGGCCAGGCTGGAGTGCAGTAGTGTGATCTCGGCTCACTGCAACTCCTGCCTCTCAGGTTCAAGCGATTCTCATGCCTCAGCTTCCCAAGGAGCTGGGATTACAGGTGCATGCCACCAAGCCAAGCTTATTTTTGTATTTTTAGTACAGACAGGGTTTCACCATGTTGTCCAGGCTAGTCT